CCTCAACAATTCTGACCCACAATCCTCCTGAAACACAGACAACAATATCAGTGGTTACCCATGCTGAGGCACAACCCAGTTTATTCATATCTACTGAGGCTCTCTCTTCAGGTATAACAGAAATGATACCATCAGTGGTCCCTAGCTCTGACACAAAAAACTATTTAACAGCTACAACTCTTGAAGTTTCCACAGATCAACCAGGCACTACAGTCCCATTGGTCACCCATCCTGGAAAGGAAGATACTTTGGAGATTCTATCTACAACTCTCTCACCTAGTGTTCCAGACATGATGACCTCAACAACTATGATCCATGCTCCTTCTGAACCACAAACCATAACATCATTAGTCACACATCCTGGTGGGCACTTCAGTTCATCCATGTCTACTCAGGCTGTTTCTTCAGGTATAGCAGAAATGCCACCATCACTAGTCACTAGCTTGGGCACAGAAAGCTATGCAATGAGTACAACTCTGGTGGTTTCGCCAGGTCAAACAGAGACCACAAGCCAATGGCTCACCCATCCTGGAAGAGAAGGCACTTCAGAGGTTCTATTTACAACTATCTTACCTACTGTACCAGAAATGAAGACTTCACCAACTCTTATTCCTTCTGAACCACATACCACAGTTTCATTGGTCACCAACACTGGGGAACAGCCCAGTTCAGCCATGTCTACAAGGCCTGTCTCTTCTGGTATAACAGAAAGAATACCATCACTAGTCACTAGTTCTGGCACAGATATACATCCAATGACTTCAACTCTGGCTGTTTCCCCAGGTCAAACAGAGTCCACAGCCCCATGGGTCACCCATCCTGAAAAAGAAGACACTTCAGGAGTTCTAACATCAACCATCTCACCAAGTGTTCCAGACATGATGGCCTCAACATCTCTGAACCACATTACTTCTGAACCACAGACCATAACATTGGTCACCCATACTTGGGGACATACCAGTTTATCCATGTCTACTCAGGCTGTCTCTCCCCATGTAACAGAAATGATACCATCACTAGTCACTAGCACTGGCATGCCAGAAATGACCTCACCAAATCATATTTCCTCTGAAGCACATGCCACAATTTCTTTTGTCACCCATGTTGAGGGACAGCCCAGTTCAGCTCTATCTACAAGGCCTGTGTCTCCCCATATAACAGAAATAATACCATCACTAGTCACTAGCTCTCACCTAGAAAGGGATTCAGTGTCTTCCACTCCAACTGCTTCTTCAGGTCAACCAGAGACCACAGCCTCTTGGGTCACCCATTCTGTAACTGAAGCTACTTTGAATATTCTAAGGACATCTGCCTCTCCTAGTGTTACAGACATGATGTCCTCCCCAACTCTTTTTTCTTCTGAACCACATACCATGATATCCTTGGTCTCCCATGTTGATGAACAGCCCAGTTCAGCCATGTCTACAAGCCCTGTCTCTCCAGGTATAACAGAAATGATGACATCACCAGTCACTACTTCTGAGACAGAGACACATACAACTACTCCAACTCTGACTGTTTCCTCAAGTCAAACAAGGACCACAGCCTCCTGGGTCACCCATCCTGGAAAAGAAGCAACTTCAATTTCTACTTTGTCTGCTTCACCTGGTGAGCCAAAAAGAACTGAAACATGGCTCATTACTTCTGCCAAGCCCAGTACACCACTCTCCACAACACCTCCCACATTTTCTTATAGTGGATCAAACATCACTTCCTCAGCTTCTGGGGCAGAGACCACTCCAACAATTCCAACGACTCTTTCATCTGGTGTACCATATATGACCACTCGACTGGATGCTGCTTCTCCAACAGACAATAGTATGACTTTTCCTACGTTGAGTACATCAATGTATGAACCAATATCAACAGTCTCCTTAGTTACTCATCCTGCCTCAACCCAACAACCTTCCAGTTTTTCTGATAGCGGTTTAGATGTAACACCCTCAGTTGGCAAGCATCCTGGAATAGAAACCAGTTCATCTGTGCCAACAGTGACTGTCTCTCCTGGGGCACCAGGTGTAATGACCTCACAATTCACTAATTCTGGGCCATCAACCATTATATTTCCAACTACAGTTGTGTCTCCTAGTGAACCAAAAAGCACAACTTCATTAACCAACCACCTCAGTGCAGAAACTAACACAATTCCTGTCTCAACTGGTTTTCTTCCTTTATTGGAAACCACAGCCTCAGTGCCCATTTCACATGGAGAAGATGTTAGTACAACTCTCTTGACTCAGACTGTCTCCCATGGAAAACCAGAGATGACAAATTTTCCCTTGAACTCCTTTGTGACTGAGGGTAGCAGAAGTGACCTGGGTACAACCTTTTCATCTGGTGCTTCTGAAGGAACAACCTCTCTCCCAGTCCTCTCTGGGACCGAGACCAGCACTGCCATTCTAACTGTAACCCCTGCTTTAGCGGGCACCACAGGCTTAGGGGCTTCCATCTCTTCAGCAGAATCCACTCTGACTGTGTCCCCTAGTGTCCCTGGGTTGCCCAGTGCTCCTACAACCAGTAAACCTGGCAATGCAACTTCACAGAGCCTAGAAACCTCAGCATCTGTCACTACAGTTAGACTTCCCAATTTTGTCAGTGATGTAATGACCGTGACACCATCAGAGTCCTCAGCAAGCCCACTCACTGACCTGGAAACTACAAGTGAGACTTCTCATTTAGCGATCACGAGTTCAAGACCCACTGGCTCTAAGACCACAACTACACTACATGCAAGTTCTTATGCCCCTCTGACCACATCTAAAATGTCCACATGGTCCTCTGAGAATGTGACTTCAGGACCAGGTAAGCAGAAGTTTTATTATTGTAGATATACATATATATATAAAATATTATATAGTAATATAATATAAATATTTCCTCTTTGTGTGTTTTAGGTATACAATGCAGTATTGTTAAATGTACAGTGTTATATAACTATCACTTTCAGTTTCCAGATAGTTTTTAGATTCCTGTTCATTACTGGTTTTGTGGGGCTTGAATCTAGGACCTCACTTACTTTGCAAATACTGTGCCACTAAGCTATATCCAAAACCGTCTAAACAATTTTAATCACCCAAAACTGAAATTTTGTACCCATTAAGCAACAATTCCTCATTCTACATTCCTCCCAACCATTAGTAACTGTATTAGTTTCCTTTCTGTGTGCTCTATCTGTTATGCAGCTATTTTACACACAGCTGCTGTGGGTTCAAGACTGCAACAGCCATGGTGTACCTGGAAGACAGACTTCCATAACACACTACTGCTTTCTTTGACTCTTATATTCTGTCTGTACCCTCTTCCGCAATGCTTCCTGAGCCTTAGAATTGATTATTCATTGACTTTTCAATTTATTCATACATTCATTTTCATTAATATTATATGTGCATGTGTATGTGTGCGTGTTTGTATTTGGTATATATACTCAGAGATAAGAAGAGGACATCAGGTACTTTCCTCTGTTACTCTTTATTCCATTGAGGTAAGGTCTTTCACTGAACTTGGAACTAGACTGACAATAAGGAATCCCCAGAGATCCTCCTGTCTTAACCTATATCACAGCTCTGTCTGGTGTTACAAGCACACACTTGGCCAAGCCCAATTTTTCACATGAGTGCAAGGGATTCGAACTCAGGCTCTCATACTTGCACAGCAAACACTCTCACCCACAGATCCCTCTTCATAGACCCAAGAGCTGGGAGCTTTTTATTAAAATTTTAATTGCACTTTTTTCTTCTATTTTTGAGATTATAATATCATTATGTAATTTTCCCTTTCCCTATCCCCCCTCTAAACCCTCCCATACACCCCTACCTTGTTCTTTTTCAAAGGTATGGACTTATTTCATTAATTGGTGTCACATGCACACACACACACACACACACACACACACATACCTAAATATAATCTACTGAGTCTGTGTAATGTATGCATATTTTCAGGACTGATCTTTTGGTTTTTACAACCAATAGTGTGCTCTTCCCTGTTTCACTCTCAGTATTCCATGGTTACCTGTTGTTCTTTGTGTAGGACTGAGGATTTGTGGTCTTTCTCCATCCACTTTAGCATGTCTACTATCGTCCTGGTTCAGCTCATGTTTAGGCAGTGATGTTAGTAAGATATTTTTAGTGTACCTTCTGACATTACTAACAGTCTTACAGCCAACTCCCTGATGCTCTGGCTCTTAAAATTTTTCTGCCTCCTCTTCCTCAATGTTCCCACGCCTTAGGTACTAGGGTGTTTTTTAGATATATCCATTGGAACTGGGCTCCATAACTCTGCATTTTGATTGGTAATTTTTCTTGGAAGTGGTCTATGTCTGTTGCAAATAGAAATTTCCTTCATGAGGGGTGAAGACTACACTTATCGGTGGGTATAAGGATAAATGTTTAGATTGTTGTTGCTAGAGTTTTCTGCCTTGCCCACAGTCAGGACAAATCTTTGTC